TAAATTTTGAAAAAGTGAAAGGTCAAAGAAATATGGGCCCCAGTGATCCCAAAGATGAGAACTAAAATTGTAGATGCTAGACTAGCTATCTTGGTAAATTTTATGTCTTTTTACTATTATTATTATTAGTTTTATAACAACCCTCTGTTGGCTTCAATTACATATCTCTAAAATAGGGTGGTGAGAAATGGACCTCCAAATGTTATAATTTAAAGAATTTCTGAAATGTAAGGCAAGCATATTGCTTTGTTTAACAGACAGTCCTTATTAAATTTATTGTTATTTATTTGGCCCCATTCTTAGTCCAAAGAGGATATAAGGCTGCTTACTCAGGGTACATCCAACATTCCATCCTGATGGTTTTCCCAGACTACATACAAAAATCAATACACGAAATACCACAAGCACCCCTATAAAATATGCAAAACAGAAAAGTAGGATGGTAAGACCATGTGGTTCCAGATAAGAAAGCTCTGGCTAGTGGTTTATTTCATAAAATTTGCAAATGGTGCCACAGCCTCTCTGGAAGCTCCAGCATTCAATGTTTCTTTGTTAAACTTCCAGCCACAAGAGAGCTTCCCCATAAAGTACAGTCTTCCTGGATCCCAAATGAGGTATCAGCTTGTACTAGATTTAGAGGCAAAAACCCAACTTCCAGATTGCCTGGGCTTTCCTTGGATACTACCTATTCCAGCATTCGGAAATCTAAAAGAATTATAGACCAAGTCAAAGCTAATTTTAAAAGACTACAATCACACATTTGCTGAAAGTGGCAGTGGAGTTTTCAATTACTACAAATAAAACTGGATCTAAGTCTAAATCCTTAAATTAATCTTTTGTTTGGCCCACAAAAGTTATATACTATAGTTGAGAGCGATCTTTTGTAGTTCTATTAATTTATTATTAACAAAACAATTGAATATAAACATGTAACTTCTGAATCTATCATAAACAAAGGATTGATTTGATATTCACAAAGTAGCTGAATAGAAACATAAATTCTATCATAAACAAGGGAAATTTGAATCGTTAAAAAAAAATGAAACAGCTAATTGCTTCTTGACAAAAATAGTAAGGCCTCATTATCAGGCCCAGAATCAGACTTTTGCAGGACTTTACATAAAAAGATTATTGTGCTGCCTATCTCTGCATTGTAACTGAGAATTAAAATGAAACATTAAATCAGAAATACTGTAAGGTAATACCATATAGACCAGTTAAGTGCTTTCAAAAATAATAACCAGTAAGCCATTTGCTATTAAGTAGACTCTGACTCATGGCAACTCCGTGTGTGTTACAGTAGGGTTTTTAACGGCTGGTTTTTCATAGATTGCTGGACCTTTCTTCTGAGGTGGCTCTGGGTAAACTCGAACTTCCAGTCTTTTGGTGAGCAGCCAAACATATTAACCATCTGCAATACCCAGGATTTTTTTTTTTTTTAAACACTACTACTTAGTATTTATTTATTGTTGTTGTTGTTATGTGCCATCGAGTCGGACCCGACTCATAACGACCCCTCCTTGGGTTTCTGAGGCGGTATCACTACGGAAGTAGATTACTCAACCTTTCTTCCAAGGAATAAAATAACAAATAACAGCAAGACTAACTAAATGCTTTAAAAAACAACAATTATCAAATATCCCTCTCCACCAAATGAGTATCTTTTGTTTGCTTGTGCTTAGTTTGCTCACTAAATCCTAATCCTAATCAAGAGATGAAAATTAAGACTAGATAGCCATACTACCATTTGAAGGGTTTTTGAGTCACCCTTCAGATGTTTTCTAAATCACTGAGGACAGAATCTCCAAGTCAGACAATCTTGTCTGAGGCTGGAGAAAAAAGCCAAGCAGAGGGAGTGTTGGGCTGTGGGTAGACATATACATCTGCACTTATGGGGTGATTGCATGGGATTCCACCTTCATGTTATCAGTGGAGAACAGATTCTAAAGAGCCTATATCTCTAAAAGGGCTTGAATTGTTGCCATCTCTTCCCAAGCTGTTAGGAAATAAACACAGGATTAGATGGGAGCAATTCCCTTGGGTTGCACATCTCCCATTGGAAAATTATCTGGGGTAAGAAAGTACTGAGAATCAAGGTGATCTTTTCAAAAGTTTAGTTCTCCTTGTTATTGCAATACAAGCAGCAAGGTGATTTGATTGTTTTTTGTTTGTTTTGTTTTATTTTATTTTAACTTATGGCAGAAGACTGAATTTTCCCCTAAATGGATTGTTCCTTCTCAAGACACTGAAGCTCAACATGGGTGATTTCACATTTCAGCCAAAACCAGGACATAGAAATGAAAAGAACCTCCTGAAGATAAATAATGCTTCAAATTACCAAAGATGCTTATACTTATGAAAGGCGTTTTTGAAATAAATGAAGTCATTGGGAATATTTTTTCTATTTTTAGATGTGGAAAATCAGAAATTATAAGGTTTTTGTTTTGCAGTCAATGGGAATAAATACTAAATTTAATTTATTCTCATTGACTGCAAAACACAAAAACTTTAATAATTCCTGATTTTCCACATTTAAAAATAGAAAAAATATTCCTAGTGACTTCATTTAATTCAAAGTATTACAGAACAAACTGCCTGGTCTTACTTTCCTCAATCACAATTCCTTAATAAGCTCTATGGTTAAGCCCATAATATAATGATGCACAAAACACATTAAAATGAGAGAGTACATTTGACTCATCATAGACAATTTTAATTACATTAAATTTAATTTTGGTATTATATACATCTTGTTATATTTGAAATCTGAGACACTGATAGTCGATGTATAATTTATATTTACACAATTTTCATCACAACATGTATTCATCTGTAACATCTAGTTTTAAGAAGTAGTTATCAAAAAGGTTTAATGTACAAGAAAATTTTAAAAGAGGTAAAAATTTAGAAGTGTTTTACCCTCATAGTTTGTTCTGCTTGCCGTGTTTTATGCAAACAGGTAATTTAAGAGCTGCTATGCTGAATGGAGGAAAGGAAACATTTAACTAAGCTTCTTGACAAATATTGAAAAATCAATTTCTGGCATTACATAATGATTCAAAGATTATTCATTCAGCTCAAGTAGGGAACATTTTTAGGTGAGCATATTTCCCTTCTGTACATGTTCAGAAATGCATTTCAAACAATAACAGATTTATTAATGCCAAATCAAGCTGCCATTCAAATACAAAGAACATACCCTTTGTTAAGTCTGACTTACAATACTTATCAACTCTTTCTTCTACTGAATTTTTACCCCATTTGTAAAAATGAGTGAGGAGGCTTTTAGAAAATGCTTGAGAATAATCACGTTTGGCCACTATGTACACAGAGAAAATATTAGACAACTAAAAGGAAGAAATATTTATAAAGTTAAAGGCTTGTTGTTGTTGTTGTTGTTATGTGCCGTCGAGTCAAACCCGACTCATAGCGACCCCTCCTTGGGTTTCCGAGGCAGTATCACTACGGAAGTAGGATTGCCCAACCTTCCTTCCGAGGAGTGGCTGGTGGGTTTGAACCGCCAGCCGTCTGGTTAGCAGGCAAGTGTCTTAGCCACTATGCTACCAGAGCTCCTAAAGGCTTGTTATAAGTTAATAAAATTTGTTTAACTTCATAAAATTTCTGACAAAAGTTATCATATTTTAAATAGATGGCCTTTCAGGAAAGACAACTGATATAATTCTATTGTCCCATCACAAAAAAATAAAATAAAATAAAATGATAAATTTAATTGGAAGTTACTTTTAAAACTTTTGAGTTTTTTAATATTTGCTACAATTTATATGAAATTATTTTCTAAAAATATTATAAATCAGTTTATTTGCATTTTAAAATCTCCTTAAGTAGAACTTTCTATATTTTAATATAATTTTTTACAATAAAGAATAAGTTAATATCTAGTTGGGAAAAGACAATTTTTCTAAGGTAAAAATAAAAAACAAATTGTAGGCAAGGCTCAGAAAGAAAAATATATATTCTGTTTTGATTTTACATTCTTACTTGCATATCTACTTACTATGTCTTTCTGATACCAGTTAAAACAAGACTGGCCTGACAGTCAGCAAATATTCTTGAAGATGAAACAATTAAGGAGCCAAAACTAAGTCGATCTCAACTAAACAATTAGTATTACTTTTTATATATATTTTGGGTTATTTTCAAAGAAAACAATGAGGAAATCTGGGGAAAGAGGTTGAGGGCATATTCAAGTGACAGTTTTTTTTGTTTTGTTTTTGCTGTTTTATTCCTACACCACTCTTTTACCACAGTCACAATATAATTTCAATTCTTATGGTAATGAAATATCAGAAGTTCTTCCTGGTACTTATTTTACCTCATGAGAAAAGATCCTACTCCTAAATCAAAAGCAAAATGCTTTATGCTCAGATTTTGTAGCAACAAAACTGTGAAGACAGCCAAGTTATTACACCACATTTTCAGATCTGGAACAGTTTCTGCAAGTAAAGAGGGTATCTGGCACACATTATATTAAAGGAAAGGCCCTACTTTCATTATTTCCTGATTCTGGGGATCCAATAAAAATCTTATGGAATAAAAACTCTTTCACAAAAACCCTTCACTGAAAAAATATTATCAACCACCCCACCCCTTTTAAAGTATTGAGAATTGAAAAACTATAGTAAGAGTTTAGCAAAACTTACTTTTTCTTGTGAGTTTTAAAGGAAAATCTAAAGGCTTTGGGGGAGGGGGGCTTTCAAACTGCAATGACTTTTAGCACCTAACAGCACAATACATTCATACTCATTTACAAAGAAACACCAACAAAGATTCAAATGCTGCTGATTAGGTAAATACAGATGACGCCAATATGGAAGCATTTGCCACTGAAAAGGACCTAAACAGAATCACATCTTGTCCTGATCATACCTGCCTGCCAGAACAAAATAGGCAGCTGACCAATTATGGGGTGTTTATCTATACAGTGCTACCTTTGTTCTCCAACAATGTCAGATTGCAAACGTCCTGGAACACATATTTACCTGGAGGATTCTTGGCAGGATCATTGTGGCTTGGACTTCCTGATTGTCCAGAATCTGTAAAGAAATCACAGAAAATGTTTTCTTTTTAATTTGTTTTGAAAGACTTTCACAATTCTCTAAAGGACTTAGGAAAAAAAAATTTTTTAAGGTACAATGAAGTTGAGTGTTCAAGTAAAGTTTACTTTCCCAAGCCATTTGGTAATAACACTTTCTTTTATTTATCAAATTAGATGAGTGTCTATACATATTTCTATGTCTAAATAAAATAAAATAAAAGTAGTCATCTACAATAGTCTTGGTTTGTAAGGCTTTTTTGAAACAAAGAATCTGGCTACAAAGCCACTCAAGGTGGTTTGAAGGTTGGGCAAATATCAAGGCCTGTCAGCAGCAATATGAAATAAAGCATTCCCTAGAAATGCAATCTGAATGTAATTAAACATGCCTTAAAAAAAAAAAAATAACTAAAAATATGTTTTTATTCAATGAGTAAAATACATAGAAATAAGAGTCTGCTTTTCTAGGATTTCACATGCATGTACACAGATCTGCTCCAATAATCCCCCAGCCTACTGGATTCAGGCCCAGATTTGTCTACATCCCATAATAGCAATCGATTTGCAAACACCAAGAAGAGCATAAATTACTAGGTAGAAACCAATGTGGCTTTGTGGAGAGCAAATTGTTGAATCAATTTGATTTCCATCTGTGGCAGAGGGACAGACTTTGCAGATAAGCGAGAAGAGATGGATGTGGTATATCTGAATTTCTTATCCCACATTATTTCTCACCAAAGCTACAGAAAGGAATGTGGAGGCTGTTACTGTGAGGCAACATGCCTTCCCGGCTTTCTGACACTTCTTTTTCCTCTATGTCCCCTCTGCATTTATCTGAGTCATTTGCCCCATATTATTATACACTTACTTGCAGGTTGCTTTGTAATCTTCTTTTATTGGTTCTAGTATTTAAGTGTTGTCTCCCCAACTAAATTGCATGCTCCTAAGCAGAGGCAGAGCTTCTGTCTATGTCTTTTGAGTCTTCCTCAGTGTGCACTTCAGGTTGTAAATGCACTAGGCTTTTAGTAAATGTTGGAGGAATGGATGGCTCACAGTCAGCAGCCTTCTTTGCTTACTTGAAAGGCAATTTTGAACTTGACGGTGAATTTCAGTAAAATTATTTCATGGGGTAGGGAGCACAGACTAGGGCTCTGTCATAAGCTGCCACGTATCAAAAAGTCTCTTCCCCAAAACCCTGCCACTGTACTTGAGCCAAGAAAGGGATTTCATCTCAGTAGAGTTATGCTTATGCTGTTTTTTCAGTAGGGTTATTCTGCTCTTCCAGGTAAGCGATTAACATACTGCAATTGCGGCTTCTACTATTAAGCACAAGGACATCCTGTTAGTTTCTTTCTATAGTTCTTGGTTATTTATTTCTGCCTTTTGCCACGTATTTGCTAACTGGGTTTAGTACTAAGATCAGTTTTACCCCTTCAACCCATTGCCTTAATTGTCTTTTTTGTTTTGTCCTAAGACCCCAAACACACTGCCATCCAGTCAATTCCATCTCAAAGCAACTCTAAAGGACAGAGTAGAACTACCCTCCCCATAGGGTTTTCAAGGCTATAATCTTTATGGAAGCACTCTGCCACATCTTTCTTCCACAGAGCAGTGAGTTCAAACTACCAAACTTTTGGTTCACAGCAGAGTGCTTAACCACTGCACCAACAGTACGTCTTTTGTCCTAGCATAGTTTTTAGCAAATCTTACTAAATATATGTAGTGATTACTCCTTATCCTCCAACTTGTTCAGGATTCCCCAAAATGGAAGTAAATGCAGTCTGGATTCTGGCTAATGTTTCTAGCAGATAGTCAAAGATAGCTGAGTAGATGTTCTAAAAAGCTGATCTCCCATGAATTCTTCTATTACTTTTTCTAGAACTGAGGCAAAACTCATTGTCTTATAACTTAGATCAATCTTTCTGTTTTTAAATTTCCATAAAAATGGTACAATGTTGGTCACTTTCCAGACCCGGAGTATGGTAGTTACATAAAAATGTCGGCCAATGCCCATTGATGATGAGTGGGCAGGTTGCTGCAGCAACTTCATTTTAGGAGATGTAGATGCTGTACCAGAACCTCAGCACATTTACTTATATCAACACTGAAAGGGCACCGCAAAACTTCCAACATTTGGTTCCTAAAATTTGGGTTGAGCTGAGTAAAGAATAAAAGTCCCTTCCATTCCTAAGGGAGTATCTAGTTAGAACAATGACACTCAATGTTATCACAACATTCCACTTTGGGAAATCCTGTTCTTTTCCACTGCAAATTTCTTTTTTTCCTTATTTCCAACAACTGTCGACCAACTTCTTCAATTGAAAATAAACAAAAACCACAAGCATTTGAGGGAAAGCTGAATTCATCTCTAAATTTGAGTCACACATTTGTTCTTTATAGCAATTCACTTTCTAAAATTAGCTGGTGTTCACTGGCACACAATGGCAGGTATTCCCTCATATACCAAAGCTTGCAATTTCTCAGAAAGTAAAACAACATACACTGCATCCTAAAAAACAGAGAAGAGGATCCCCAGGGAGCCCACAACAAAACATCTACTTTTCAAACTGTAAAATTTTAGACCTATAATCTACTATTAACTCTTATGTCACCTTATTTTGGTCACTTCATTCCAACTGCTAGAAAAGGAAGTAACCAGGCAGTTGCAGTTGGCAGAGAAACCAAAAATGAACTGTTATTGTGGTTGACTTCAGAGAAGGAATTACTCAGACCACATCTAAAACCCTTTCTATTCACTACCTAAGTCAAATTACCTTATACCCAAAGGTTTTATTTAACCACTTCCATCACTTTGCCCAAGTCCTTTTTTTTTTTTTTTTTTTTTTGAGGACTATGTGGACATAATATGATGGAGTAAAGCTTGGCTCTATCTCTCACTGGTGGTTTGATCTTGAGCAAATTGTTTAATTCTTAAGAGTCTTGGGGTCTTGATCTTTAAAAATACAATAGTATTAAACACCTCAGCAAACAATCACAAAGATTATATTATGTAAAGCATCAAGCACTGGGCCAAGCACAACCTTCATGTTCAAATGAAAGGTACTATTGAGCACAGGGTCCACATTAAACAATGGTTAATATTTTTAATGGGCTGTCAGGAACAAAGGGAGAAAAAGGACACGACCAAACTCTGTCCATCCCAGAACACATCTAAAAATGTCACCAGTGAGCAAAGTGACTGTGGCAAGTGCGTGCCCATGTGAGAATTCTGGTGATAGATGCTTTAGTCTACCTCAGAAAGGAAGGTAGAAGGGAGCACCACCTCTGCAAGGCCCTCAGGAGCCACCACATGCAAGAAGCTGTAGATACCAGCCACAAAAACCAAAATCAAACTCACTGCCATCAAGTCGGACCCAACTCATAGCGACCCCTCCTTGGGTTTCCCAGGCAATATCACTACGGAAGTAGATTGCCCAATCTTCTTCCTGGGGAGTGGCTGGTGGATTTGAACTGCCAGCCTTCTAGTTAGCAGTCAATTGCCTTAGGCACTAACCACCAGAGCTCCCAGATACCAGCCAGTTGATTAAAATTACCTTCCAGGATATGCCAGTCTATAAAGAACAAAGCAGGAAAGGATAGGGGATGTTAGTTGCCCAGTGTACTGGGTCTTGTGTCTGTTATTGTTGTTATGTGCTGTGGAGTCAGACCTGACTCATAGTGATGCTTCCTTGGGTTTCTGAGGCAGTATCACTAGGGAAGTAGATTGCCCAACCTTCCTTCTGAGGAGTGGCTGGTGGGTTTGAACGGCCAGCCTTCTGGTTAACAGTAAAGTGCCTTAGAAACTACACTGTCTAGAGAAGTTTTTTTTTTTTGGTTGTTGTTGTTTCAACATTGAAACATAAGGTTTATTTCTGATCTGCTATTTTACATGTAAATAGAGAGACCACCCTAATTTAAAAAAAAAAAAAATAGCTCAAAGTAGACTAGTTACAATGAAGTTTATAAGAAGAGGAGAGAGGAGAATAAAAAGATCAACCATTGGCTAATCTTAGACGACTGATTGGACTCTTGCCCTCCTCCATTTACTGAAATCAACATCAGGTCACAAGGTGGTCTCTGGTCCTCCACCCACCTGCAGCCATGATACCTTTTTTTCTTTTTCTTTTCTTCTTTTTGAATATTTTAATGTGGTTTGGGTTAAAAAGATTTTGAGGCAGTGGATAAAAAGAGAGGGGGCTGAGTCTTGAAGGAGGCAGACCAAAACCAATCTTCCCTCACTCCCTGCACTTTTTATTTCCTCTTTCTTGCTCTTAATCTACATTTTCCACATTTCTGTGCTTGTCTCTTTCTGGCTTAACTAGACATAATGCAGCACTAACCTCTGTTTTGTATTACATACTTATTAAGATCTCATATTCTCTACTGTTATTTTTAAACAGTGTGATTTAAAAATATTATATTTCTTCTTCAAGGGGAAAAAATGTATCAAGTGATGTCTAAATTATGACTCCTTTAGCTCAATCAATTTATCCCCCCTTAGGATAAAGATTCTGCAGGAATTAAGAAAAGATTCACTCCCCTGCATGGCCTTTTCTTCAGTTTCATCACTCATTTTGAAAAACAGCCCATCTTCCCTGGTTCTTCTAATATCTAAAATTTACCTAGAGAAGACAAGATTTCCCTATTGACAAAATTTCATGAAAGACCCTGGGAAATGTAAATGTTCTAAATAGTTTGTCCAAAGTTACATGGCCGATACTAAAAAGTATGCTCTCTATGGGCCACCATGCAGACACAGGGTGTCTTTAGAAGTCATGATGCAATTTTAAAATCATCAAAGCCAAAATGATCTTTAAGTAGATTAAATTTTTCTGGGAATGCCACCTTCTCCCAACTTCCCTCTTCTTTCTCACCATTTACCAATGCATTCAAAACCTCTTTCAGAAATTGAAAAACAAAAACAAAAACAAAAAAAACCTTTACTATTCTAAGTTGGAAATAATTAGTATCATCCCTGAATTTCATACACTAATTGTTTTA